GACAGGACGTGGTCTGATGGACCAACATGGACATGATAGTTATAGACCCCGACCATGAATACCTCCCTAGCTTCGGGAGGACAAGGAAGGAAAGATTCGTCAGCACATTGAAGAAGGAACATGCTCACACACGTTAGCAAGGACCAGAATTTATGACACACGTCAGCAGGGCCCACCAACGTTGTTAGATTTAATTTAAGAATAATGTTACGTTAATTAAATTTTGAGATTAAATTTAAAATTCAAATGATATGGTAATATATTATTTGAAATATTTATTAAAGTTCAGATAATATTTTTTTTTTGGGGGGAAGAGGGGGAGGGAGAATAAGGAAATGAACCATTGACCTCAACAAGACAAAATCTTTAGAAGACAAAGAGTATCATTAGACCAAAAATACTAAATAAAAAATTTTAAATTAACTATCATATCATTTCATTTGAGATTTAAATCTAGTCTCAAAATTTGATCAATTAATTTAAGGAACAAGTGATAGAGGATGTTATTATAATGTTAGTTGTACATCGCTGTGCACAAAGACCCATGCAATTTGACAGGAATGCCGCACTCTTTGATGCATTTGGAAGGAAAGATAGAAAACTAGAAGGATGAAAAATAAGTGTAATACGTTTTTACTTTTTAAAAAAAAGAAAATAAGAATGATACATTTTTTTTTTGTTTTTGTGTTTGGTAGGATGGATAAAAAATAAAAACGACTATTTTTTATATTTTTTTTGTGTTGGTTAAGACTAAGAGTGACAATCGAGACGTGTTCTGTCAGATTTGTGTTGAGTCATTACAGGTTTTTGTCGAACATTAGTCAAACTTAACTCAACTGTTTTAATTAATTATGTTGTATCGAATTGTGAATTGACATATTTATTTTCGTATCGTGTTTGTATTCGTATTAACCTACATAAATTTTGAATAAAAAATTTAAAGCTAATATTCTATTTTCACTTAATTGAATCCATTTTACCTTTAAAAAAAATTAAATTCATGTTAATATTTTTTCTACAAATTAAAAATTAACTTAAATAAATATAATAATAATAATAAGTAAAAATATATTTTTTATATAATAATCATGTCAGTGTTTAGTAAATAGTTATAAATAATTAACATTTTATGTCTATAATACTAGTTAAACATGTTAATTTTATGTTAATTTTGTGTTACCATACAAACGAAAAAATAAAAAAATTGTTTATTTTTAAATAAACGAGTTGATGGTGTCAATTTTAAGTTTAACGAGTTGAACTAAACATGAGTTTATTATATTTTTTATTCGCGTATCAGGTCATTTTTAAGTTCGTGTCATAAAATTTGTGTCGAATTCGAATCGTATCATCGTGTTGAGTCAAAAATTTTCACCCCTAACTAAGATGAGAAAAATATTTTTTTCATTTAAAATTTTTATTTTTATTTTTATGTTATTATTTTTAATTTTATTTTTAAAAAATATATATAAATACATATTTTATCATTGTATTTTTATATGAAATTAATGTATACCTAATATCTGTATATACAAAAAAATATATAGATAAATAAGATACATCTCAATACAATTAATTAACTTTCTATTTATTTTCCTTCCGATTTTAGAGTGATTGATTTTTGAAAGTTGAAATGATAGTTAATCCATCTACTTTTTCATTCTTATTATTTTTCTTTTTTACCAAACATAATATTTTATTTATCCCTTCAACTTTTTATCTTTCTAATTTTTCATCTTTTTAATTTTTTATCTATTTATTTTTTTATTATATCAAACAGAGCATTAATAAATAAGTTCAATTATGTCACACATCGATAAGAGGCAGCATTCAATCCGCGGTCCCAGGGACTGGCAAATTGAAGTGGCTGTAAATGAGGGTTGCATTCATTTTTTTATAAGTGGGGAAAGGCTATTGCATCCAACAAGGTATCGTACTAAAATTTATAATTATTTAAGATTAAATTATAAATTTTTTTAAGCGTAAGTTACAATTTTTAAAAGTCATAATAGATTGTGATTAATAACAAAATTACAACTTTTAAATGTAAAGTTATAACTGATAAAAAAGAAATTACAATTGCTCAAGAGAAATTCATGATCAATCATAAACTTTCTCTTTTGAATTATAATTTTTTTTTTTTAAATTATAATTTTATTATAAAAATAATAGGTGACAGTATGAAACCACCATCAATACCATAGACTTTACTTCTAGCTGATCCGAATATTCGCTCTTTTAAAAAAAAAAATGGCTTAATTGTGCGGCTCAAGAACTGTTCTTCTATAGTCTAACAGGGGCTAGCCCCATGAGCTCCCTCCCTGTACGACCGAATTAGGAGATTTCCCTTCTGACGTGATGTTGGATTGCCCAGTTACTCCCCCACGCCTTATTATCAGTGCAAGTCAACAACTCGAGATACAAATAGCACCATGGCTTGGTGCCTAAGGTATAAGATCCACAACACCAAACCTCTGGAAAGCCGTTTTTCCTCCCTAAAAGCACTAACTTCAGCGTCGGAAAGGAATCATTGGATACTGTAGAGCTGTTACTCGAGTTGGATTTGAGTTTAATTTATTTTTAACTCGTTAAAATTTGACTTGTTTTTAATTTTTTTAGTTTATTTGAAAAATGAGTTCAACAAACTCGACTTATTTATGTATAAATACTCGGCTCGGTTCTAGTTTAATTTATTTTTGGCTCGTTTGAGCTCGGCTTATTTTCTAAACAAGTTGAATTTGAATAATTTTTTAGGTTCAATTAAAAAAATAATTTTTTTAGACTCGAGTCAAACCCGTTCGAGTTCATTCAATTATCAACCTTTCATACACATCCAATATCCTTCTAACTATGTTTTTTTATGAATAATACTATTTAGACTTAATTTATTAACATAATGATATTAATTCATAGGACTCATTGGATCAACACTAAGTTTTAATGCTTAATGGGGCCTACANCTGTTTCTTATGAATAATTCTATTTAGACTTAATTTATTAACATAATGATATTAATTCATATGACTCATTGGATCAACACTAAGTTTTAATGCTTAATGGGGCCTACAGTCGATTCAAAGTTTACAATAAATTAAATTAACAAATTATGTCAGTAAATTTGATCCCAATAACATTGCTCGTCTCTTATTGCGGAGCCCCGTCATTCAACCCACCACAAGATCATTCAGCTGGATTCACCCCTGAGTGGCTATCTTTTTGATATTGTAGAAATCATTCTATGCAATCATTAAGTTTCAAAATGTGATCCTACTTGACAAATTTCAAATATTTGAATTTTAAGTCTAATTTCTTAGTTTATGAAATAATCTCACCTATTTTTGAGAGTACAAAACTAACTCAATTATTTATAAACTTTTCAATAGGGGGTAAATTCTAAAAAAAAAAAAATTAATTTTTCAAAATTTCAAGTTATTACCAAAAACTTTCAAAATTGCAATCCCACAGTGTCTTCGCCCTTGTTCAAAACAACATAAAGATCCCATTTAGAGATATTTAGTGATATTTTTCGACATGTTTTGTACGGGTTCACCCTAGTTCATCACTATGTTACAGCTTTATCACCTTCATGTATGTTCTTCCATGATCATCCATCAAAATTGGCCAAATCAACAAAAAACCATAGGTCATATGATAAGATTATGATGCCCAATATTAACTTTTCGGGATGATAGATACTAGGGTAAATTATAACGACCACCCCTGTTGTTTCTAACAATTTCATTGCACCCCTTCTTGTTTTTAAAACTGCACTGACACCCCTTGCCAGTGTAATCACTTAAATGGCGTGCAATGAAGTTGAAAAGTTAAAATCTTACCCTCCTTCTTTTTTCTTTTTGGTTCAAAATATCCTTTATATATACACCCTAAAAAATCTATAACTACTCATTAAGCCATCCCAAAATTCACCTCACACACTTTAAACATACCCATTTCATAGCGTAACAAGGTGTAAAAAAAGATCCAGGGAATTTTTTTATCTATCTGAAGTGTTTTTTTTTTGTACTAGAACTATCTGAAGTGTTGGAAAGCAAGATTTTCACCCAACCTCCATGGCTTTGTCTATTTGGGTAGCACAAGTTATTTTTGAGCTAAGGAGAGCTTTTAATGTGAGAGAGAAGAGTTGTAGCTTCTTTTTGGAGATTTTTATGTGTTCGAAGATATTTGTCATATTGATCCAATGGGTGGGGCCAAAATAAAAAAAAAAATACCTAAGTGATAGCAGGTGTTATATAACAATAGGCAAAATATGGAGTTTGTATCATAAAATTTGCTTGCATCATTAGATCTGCTAAGTAATTTACCCTGGGGGAATCTTTTACAATATATCACACCCCAAGGGATGTCAGTGTAATTACAAGAACAAATGGGGTGTAGTGAAAATATAAGAAACACCGAGGGGGGTCATTGTAATTTACCCTGGATACTATGAGTAATTAGTAGCCATTAATCGCGTGAGTAATGCAATAAGATAAAATAATAAAACAATAAAACATTTTGCATTACAACTTTTGATTTAGGCTTCTAAGACCTGTGGTGGCACACTGTGTGTATCTGGGCAAAGCTTATCATGGAGGCACTGAAACTTTATGTAGAATGTTAACTAAAATGGTCTTTCCTTTTCTCATTTTTTGAGTGAATGATTGTTATGAACTCAACCTTTATTTCAAAAGTCCCAAGACTTGTAAAAGGTTAGATCTCATAACTATTGGAACCTAAAATTTCACCCCTCAGAGCCGACATCTATACGGCGTGCCACTCCATCAAAACAGGTCCAACGGTAGACTTTTTCTCTTTGGCGGTTTTACTCACTTACCAGAATTCAACGCGATGGTACTATGCTCATATATAATACTAAGACGTTTCAATATAACCTATAGATTGTCTCTTCCGTGACTCGAATGCATGACTTGTGATGCCTGTCTGATACCAATTGTTATGAACTCCACCATCATTCCAAAAATTTCAAGACTTGTGAAGAACTAAAACTCATAACTATTTGAACGTAATAATGATACTGGAACCAAGCAAAACCCTCTGCTTCGTAGGTCAAGTCGTTTCTCCCCAATTTTCTGTAGACAAATCCAATTTGTGAACAAAAGCATGAGAGAGAGAGAGAGAGAGAGAGAGTACAAATGGCCTTATACCTGTGAGTGAAGTGTTTTGGTGCTGATGTATGAGGTACTCAGCAAGTCAAACAAACTCTGTACACAAATCAACACAAACACGAATTATAAGTAAACAAGAACAAGTATGAACTCACGGGTTATCGGTGAATTCAAAATTATTATATTGTTATTCATGCAAGTGTTTATCCTAATCTCTCGAGATGTAACATAACGCCACCTAGTTTTTAGGGTGCTCGTTAGATTAGGAGGAAAATGTAGTTGTACTCCCTTGGGAGTAGTGGTGTGAACGGTGTCGAATTAAACGGATTTGTCCTCGGGAGTAATGGTGTCAATTATGTTAAATTAAACGGGTTTGGATGTAATTTAATTAGATTAGTGAGAAAAACTATTCAACTCGTATATGATTCATTTAAGGGAAATTTGGAGACCAGTCTTCCTATATGGATTTATTTAGAGATAAGTCCGTCAAAAAAACTTAACTAGTTTTAAGTCCGTTTTTTGTCAATTTTACTATTATAACTCTTCCCTGTAAGAATGTTATAAATGACGTTATGAACACAATAACCAGCTATATACATCTCCTTTATAATTGTCTTCAAATTCGGCTACAATCTTTTAAACCACAATATTTTCTTATCCAAAAAACAAGAAATCGGCATTTACCAAAAATCGTTCATATTCAAATTTCAAACTTATTACATTCTATAAAATACAATTTTAATTTACTATTCTAGTTTATTTTGGACTCCATCGACAAAATATTAATTTTTAAAAAATAACAATAGTATCATACTTAACAAAAAGAGTAACGTGGTCACTAAAAAAATAGTAACACACTCACAAAAAAATAATAACATGATAAAAGAGTAATAACAACTAGAGATTTAATTCTGTCAAAGTGGACTTTAATCTTGTAACTAAGATTCAAGAGAACTCATACATTGGTACTAAAATAAAGTGTTATACATTTCGATTTTGTTGATTTTTTTGTTGTGCAAGAAAATCGAGTATTCTTCGGTTGTGTTACTGTGAAAAAAATTTATGTTATTGTACGTGAACCGAAAAATGGAGTTCAGAATTTCAATGTTTTGATGTTCAAAATTGGTGTTGAATGTCATAATTCAACTGTCGATTGTGTGTTACTATTCGTCACTTTGTAAATTTTTAATTTGTGGATTATATTTTCACTAAAATCATTCGAAAGTTGATATTACTGTAAAAAAATTATTGTCTTGTATTTTATAAAATTAAATTTGTTACTGAGCACAAACCTTTGATATTTCTGTAAATATTAAAATGTATGTTACATAATATACGTCTCAAAGATTTATAATTGTATGTTAAAATTCACTATAGTAACATTAGTGTCAGTATAGTAACATGAGTGTACTGGTAACACGATCCTAACTATAACTTCAATCATATAATAACATGAATATTACTATATATTAACATTCGTGTTACTGAACTCTGTTGACATTATTAAACTTCTCTATATTATACATTATTGTTATTAAAGAAATTTTGTGATCTGATTTTGACTTAATAGACCAACCATTTATTCTACATTAAGCTTCTCATATATAATAATCAGAATATATAACTTCTATATAAAACTTCTGTTAATTATCATAATATTTAATAAACAGGTTCCATATATAACTCAATCATAAGTTTTCATATATACCTCAATGATCTAACCTACGTAACTTTTCATAACTAGACAAAACTAATACCGTTAGGGATAATTTTAAAATTTTAAAAAATAAGTGGACTTAAGTACTTATATATACGTTTAAATATGAATTTACCCCCAAATAAATTTCCTTCTAGGACTCAAGTCTTTATAACTCCATCTAGGAGAACTCACCCTCAATTTTCACTTCATTTAATTAAACGGATGAAATTTTACAAATCAAATACGATTCATTTATTAAATAGGTTATTTACACGATTCGTTTAACTCGTTTAATATTTTTTATTATTATAATAAAAAATTAATTGTTAAACTTTTTTTTATCTGATCTAATTAATAAATTGTATATATTATTCCAACTAATTTTTTTTTTAATAATTATTGATTTATTATTATATTAATTTTATTCAAATGAGTGATAAATGAGTTGACATATCTCACTTGAACACGACCTATTTATTAATAGGGTTAGTAGACCACACCTATTAAGACCTAATTCAAACTCGTTTAACTCTGTATTAATTCGTATAGATTAATTATGTCATGTCATATTTTGACAGACATATTTGAGAGTGTGTTGATTGGACGTACGGTAGGCATTAAGTTATTAATCTTTATTTCTCATTTTTTTGAAAGTTAATTTTTTACTTCTTGACCAAAAAAAAAAAACAAATTTCAAAGTTGATCAAATATGCATTTATTTCAGAGTAATGTCATTTTGACCTAATTCATTATAATTTTTGAATTAAAAGTAATACTAGATGGACTTAAAAATTAGACTTAAAAACTAGACTTGATAATCTCAATCATTGAATATGTAGTGGGTCCTAATAAATGCTGAAATCCAAAGTGAAATCAATGTAACATTGCTCTTGAATTAAATGTGAGTCCATCAAACATTGAAACTTGTTTCTTCATTCAATGATTCTAATGAAATCACATTATCAAGTCAACAAATGTTAGATTTTTAGGTTCAAATAACATTACTCTTTATTTTACTTACCCAAAAGATCTATGCATTACTGTGATTCAAAATGGACTTGTCACACTAAGTTTAAGTGAGTGAGATTATACCTGAATTTGATCTTGGAGGGCCTTGATTGAAATGGAAGCCTCTTGCAGAACAGCAGCCGTATCAGTCTGCAATAAAGATCACTACTGTCACATTTCAGATAGACCATTATTTCCATTTCAAGACCGAAATTATGATGAGTTTGTTGCTAGATTTTACATTTGCTGAAGCATTCANTTTCAGATAGACCATTATTTCCATTTCAAGACCGAAATTATGATGAGTTTGTTGCTAGATTTTACATTTGCTGAAGCATTCAATTGGCTTATTCAACGATTGATCGATGAAAAGTAACGAAATTAAAGCGAAAATGTTTCATAAAAATGAGCGGCAACTTCTGTCAAAAAATGAGTTCTTTTTTTTGAGCTTGAATTGCTGACCTTGCCATAAGGAGAAACCAGTTTCTGAAGAACTGTGATCCTATCACTTAGCTTCTGGCTTTTCCTTGCTGGCACCTGCAACCACAAGATAACTAGAACAGCTTTAGAACAAGATTTATGAACTTCTAGAGCTCAGCTGACTGATGTTAAATTGGTATTTCTTGCTCAGTTTAGTGTTAAATAACTATCTATTCCAAAAACTTATGTTGTTGGAGAGAGGATAACTTAAGTTTTTATATTTCAACGCGTCTCATGATGTGTAAGTTAGATTTTGGGCCTAGCACGTAAAATTTTTTTTAATAATTAGGATAGCGGTGAGATCCGAACACATGACCTCCTACTCTGATACTATATTAAACTACCATCTATTTCGTTGTTGGAGAGTGTAATTTAAGTAATTGAATTTCACCAAATAGTAAAACTGTTTTGTGTGGGTTTGTTGCATATATGATAGTTAACCTTAGGANATTTTTTTTAATAATTAGGATAGCGGCGAGATCCGAACACATGACCTCCTACTCTGATACTATATTAAACTACCATCTATTTCGTTGTTGGACAGTGTAATTTAAGTATTTGAATTTCAACAAATAGTAAAACTGTTTTGTGTGGGTTTGTTGCATATATGATAGTTAACCTTAGGAAAGTTGTGGTGGGGTTGAACCTGAAGCCAAGTAAAACAGCTCACCATCTTAAGTAAAACGTTACAAGTTCGAGCTCAAGAATTAATCTCAAAAGAGTCCACCTAGTAGTTATCTCTCCCAGATGTTGCTATAAGCGTGAGTCTTATTTAGGAAAGTCGACAAAGAGAAAATGGATTGGTATACCTACTNTACGTTACAAGTTCGAGCTCAAGAATTAATCTCAAAAGAGTCCACCTAGTAGTTATCTCTTCCAGATGTTGCTATAAGCGTGAGTCTTATTTAGGAAAGTCGACAAAGAGAAAATGGATTGGTATACCTACTCTTACCCTTTGATTGTTCTTTGTCTCTTCCTTAACTGTATGATCCCATTGTGCTTCAAATAACAATGCCCTCTTCTTCTTTGATGTGCTTTCATTCAGAGTGGACTTGCTGCTGATCAGATTGTTAGAGCTTGTCTTGGATTTAATCTCATTGATCTCTATTGGTCGTTTTCTTGAATTTTGTATTGGCTGAAACTCCTGCCAAAACCACCCCAAGTAAATACCCAAGTCATACTCTCTCTATACCAACTTAAACTTTTAGATCATGAATCAAGGTCATGTGTTTAAGTTTCGCCATGACCTTTCTAAGTAAAAGATTTAGCCTGCACATTAGGAAGTATATTGAAATATATATATCTAAGTCACACTACGTCAAACAACTTGAGCTTTTCTAGCTATGAGATGCTGATATTACAGGTGAGAACAACATAAAATACTTTTATTTACAACAAACCAAAAAAAATTTGTTTGACTTTTTGGCTTTAAAACAAAGTATAAACACGGAATTTATAGTAATGCAACTTTATAATTGACAATATTCAAATCCAACCTTCTCATCTTATTTTGTTGTTTATTGTCTTGGACGCACGATTCCCATCAGAGTGTGTGTGTGTGTATACATATATATATATATATATATATATATATGGAACAAACATCTGAATAGTTGATTAGGCCAAAATTTCGTAAAAAGCATACATTATAGTGCAATGTATGTAGGAAAGAGAGTCAACATACATCACATCTTTGAACAGAAAACCTCTCACTAAACAACAAGGGCTGCTGAGGAATATAATTATCACCATAGCTGGACATGGTAGTTAGATACTCTTCCCCTACACAAGGGCAATCCAGTCTTTTCACAGTCATCGATGCGGACGGCCCTGAAATTTGAAATGTTTGCAACTGTATGAGTGTTTGTGATNAATAGTTAGATACTCTTCTCCTACACAAGGGCAATCCAGTCTTTTCACAGTTATCGATGCGGACGGCCCTGAAATTTGAAATGTTTGCAACTGTATGAGTGTTTGTGATTGAGACAAAAATGAGTGAATTTTGGCCTGCATGCAAAGAAAATTGCATACATAACTGGCGACTGATAGAGAGAGATGCATCGAACCTGGTTCATAGTTCAATGGAGATTGAGAATGAACAGCAATACCTTCATCATCTAACTGGTGATCTTGACAAACATATGATCTTGAATCAAAGAAGTTGCTGCCATAGACATCGCTGTTGAAAGAATCATGAAGCATTAATAGTAACATTACTTGACTCTTACCTACCGAAAAAAATACATATATTTATATTATTCGACTCTTAAGGTGAATAAAATTAGATTCTTATGATGCTTCGACTATTTATTTTCCCTCTTAAGTCACTGATTTCTATCTTTCATTCTGCAAAACTTGTAAATGAAATACCGATTCAATCCGAATTCTTGGAATGACTCCCGTTGAAGATTTCTAGCTAGTTGATCGGAAGTGAAAACAAAGTGCTTTGTTGCACTTTCTCGACACTAATTTATTTGATTCTTACAAACAACCGGATTGAGAATGGTGTTTTTTTTTTTTTGTAAAGAATTGCAAATGGTTAAATTTTTGTGGCTTGAGTAATTGGAATAGTCTCTCCGCATGCTGGATAGGTATGTATATATATATTTGACTTTTCTCGGTCCATGTGGTAACTAATAATCTCCTATATTACAATATGTTTCTTCTTCTTCTTTTTTTAGTTTAACGCTCAAGAGTATCCGGATCAATTTACGTGTACCTCGACTAATCCCTTTCCTAATCCAGTGAAAGACAAGTCATCTACATTGACCTGATCTCAAGAGGTTGTCAAAATTTATACTCAAGACGNTGTCAGTGATATTTCAAATAATAGAGGCGATTTCATTGAAGATATGTCTATTTAGGGAGAGTGTCACCGATAATTACCCAAGTTTTTTCTTTTTAAAACAAGGGCGGCTCTAATAACTTACAAGTGTTTGATTAATTTATCTTTCAATCAGGTTGACTTTCTTTATGTTAAGACAAAAGCAGACAGAGATTGAATAAAAGATTCGAGTAAATTTGGTCACTCTAAGATTACGGTTTGACCGAGATCTCTTCTGATGTATGGAAATACTGGTAATAAAGTTGATTAAGCAATACCTTAACTCGAACGGGTCGACTCAGTAGACAATATTTCAAATGACCAGGATATGAATTGGGATTGTTGTCATGCATATGGGCTAGTAAATGATTTGAGCAATTCGAGTTTGGCTTGAACTCAATTCAATTTTTGCTAATCAAAATTTCACAATGTATTGAATTTGATCAGATTTTTAAACTTGATTTGTAAAAGAATTGAATTTAAGTAATGTATGACTTAACTCCAACAAGCTCGGCTCAAATAAGTTTTTTTTATTTAAAAAATAACTTCAATTTTATCATCAAACAATCTCCATTCACAACATAACAACCCCAAGTCAAATCAGAAAGCAATTAGTTCATGGCATCCCCAAAACAAATGACCTTGCAGGCCTTTGAAAACTCCATATATAAGTATGCATCTGAATTGTGTCGGGTGAGGTGGGTTTATATCGAATCTTAAGGAGTTCGTATCAAAAAATATTCAACTTATATCTGATTCATTGATTAATTATTGTCTAATGAATTATGTTTATATTGAATTTGTATCGTATATGAATCATGTATAACTGATATATAAACGAATTATGTCGCATCGGTTTCAATCATTTATAAAACGGGTGACTTATTGAAGACTCAAACCTTCTAATTTCGTGTCATGGTAAGTAAACTGGAGAATATAATGTAGAATTTAGTTTGATTTTACACAAACTCAGTGAACTTTGAGTCACATTCTCTATGTTTTGTACAAACTCGAATATGTTCGTCCCTTTGTCTTTGCTTGAATGGTTTTTGTTGCTTGTGTCTCCCAAATTGATTGGTGGCTATTGACCTCTTCATCATAAATTACACAATAAGTCCAAAGAAGATAAACTTCAGTTCATTTTCCAAACATTAGTCTATATCAGTTTAATCAAATCAATTGTAATTTGTTTGAGTGGTGACTTCAAAGTCAACAATCAAGTTTCCTCTTTGTCTTTACAGCAGTTTTGCAATGTTCTTCGGCATATCTTTTAAGATATGTGAAATCCATATACGATTAACAAGTGTGGTAATGCCCACATCTGATAGATTATGTTATTTATCAGTCTATCTAATAATGATTCAGAATTGTGTAATCTAGGGGCGATAATGAAGTCCAATTATGTTGTATTTCGGGTCATGTTATCTCGAGTTCATTTCGATCGAATACATATAAATCTTAACCCAAATCATTATAACTAATATTAAGGGATCATGTCATTTTTAGGTTTGTATCTAAATCTCTCAATGAATTGTGTTGAATCGGATTCATGTCATGATAAATTTCACTTAAACTATATCCTAAAGTATTTATATTCGTACATACTCGTATTCGTGTCTTGTATAAGCAGCGGGTTCATGTCGTATTTAGCTAGTTTTACACGGACCCTTTCATTGGAAAAGGTCAACTGCTACACTTGTTTACCACTTGAACTGTTGTAAAATTATCAATTCAAGAATGCTAAAAATTAGATGATAAACAAGACAAGAAAATTTATCGATAGAATTGTGTAATCACTGTTCTTAAAAATAGATTTTTGCCCCTATGAGTATGAAACTCAGTGCAACAGGTTATGACATCCTATCCTCCAGGATTCAACTATCGCTTTTCCACAAACGTGCACTCGTAACTGTACATGTGTCTCGAAGAACTCTTAATCGTTCTCAAATCAAAGTAATATAAGTAGTAGTATATTTATTGGTATATCAGGACACTGGTTGCAGCAGGTTGACATACTAATCACAAAATCTA